TATACATATATATATAGCATATTTTGTTTGTGTTTGTTAACCAATTGAATGCTATCAATGGTAATAAATTCAATGCGAGGAGTTCCCTCAAACGTGCCCTGTTTAAACAGAGATAATTGCCATTTCGGTATTTGTGATAAGTGTATAATGTAGACTGATATTTATTTATGAGCCACACACACAGCGCAAATTAGTCATGCCTAGGATTGGAGTCCAATCGACTCAAAACCCTAAAGCGTCTTTATCATCATAATTATTTCGTTAGGTGACGGCCAAAAACCTACAAAATATTCTAGCCATTCATCCACCTAATGAAGTAATTGTGATGACAAAGAGGTTTATTTTTTAATAATTGTCCGACTTTAAATAACAATTACAGTGCGTGCTATAATTGATGGCGTCTCTTTCTGGCGTGACTTAATGTCTGAATAATTAACGAACAGATTTAGCTAGATGGTATTGGATCAAATAGATAGAGGAATTCGACTTCTTAATTATTCCATTAAATCAGCTTTGCAAAATGATTAATAATACAACAACCAATAATTAAAAAATAAATTCACAAAATTAAAAATTATTGCAAATCTGTTTGCCATCAACATTAAATTACATTAAATAAATTATAATTGTATTCCTTGACAAATCAGCTATTTTTGACACACTTTTCCTAATATTGATTCGAAATTTGATAAATCATTGCAAAAAAAAGCTCTCGATTTAAATTTCGGAAAATCGCAACATAATTTGGGATTTTTGAAAGTACACAATGTTGTCCCAAACGGGAAAATCTACAGGCAACAACTTCACATTCTGTAGAAATTCGAGAATGTGCGAAATATTGCTCATTCGCATGAAACCAATGTAAAGTCTCTGAAAAAATAAACATAACTATAGAAAAATGTCAATAATATCAAAGTGTCAAGTTTGTAATACATAGCAAATTAGAATTCGAATTTCTGAACGTTATAATTGCATCACTCTGTACTGTAAAATTGACATATTTTATTTAGCTGCAACTGGCTAATCGTCCAATTTGGCCATCTAATCAATCAGTCAGCTCTTGATGTGGTCACTTCTTGACTCATAAGGTTTCTCATCCGCATCCTAGATCTTATCTAGCTGCTATCTATTTCTGTATATATATATGTTCACTTACATATAAATGCTTTGCATGTAAATATTTAACATGCCATTCGCAACCCACAACTGAGCTACAACGAAGCTGAACAGCACTGTTCATGCATACAAACATACATACAACAACACTGATAACCGGCCCCCCAAACTGATAACACATCTGTATGTATGTATGTTAGTATGTAAGTATGTATGTGTGTATATTCGTGTACAAACGTTTGTATTATCAAATTACTGGTAGCTGATAATCCACACAAAGCTGTTAAAAATGGAGCGGGAAGCGGGATGGGTGTAGGTGAATGGTATTGATGAGAATAGCTAAGTAAATTCATTTGATCATTTACAACACTGGCAAGGCTGTGCAACAGCAAGTGTATATGCATATGCATATATACATAATTATATATACACACACACTACACGCACACACACATACATATATACATACATACATAAGTTTGACAGCTTCACCTGTCGAGTCAGTCTCCCACTCCCTCATTCCGTCTCTCCCTCCCACTCACATACATATTTATTCACTCTCATTCGCATTCGCACTCACATTCTCAATTCCATCTCCAATCCCTTCCATTCTCATGGCATATATTAACTGTTTTCACTGCTGATGCTGATGCTGAAGCTGATGCTGATGCTATTGTTGCTGCTGTTTGCGCACTCATTTTGCTTTAATTCGTACAGACAAAAGCAGAAGAGGCACTCACGTAAAATGCAACGCATGAGATGGGTTAAAAATAAATAATGCTGACGTCACATTTTGCGTACGAGCGAAAACGAAACACACAACACACTCGAGCACACACACACATACCCACACTAAGAAGAAAACGGTGCCCACAGCCGCCAAAGCCAAAGCTCAAAAGCGAAATGCGACTGATTGGAATTGATTAAAATGCAGCAGGCAAATGTTACTGTTGCTGTTTGTTGCGACTTGCTGTTTATATCAAACAAACAAAAACAACAACACTACCAAGAACAACAATAACAACAATAATCAAACGACATTTATGTGGCGCGTGTTTTGGTTTTTGACTTCGCGTAACCAATAAGCCTCGATGATGTCAATGACGTTGATGACGTTGCCAGATTTGTATTTATGCTTTCAGCTTTTTCACTTTGCGCTTTCGATTCGCTCTCGTCATTCTCCCAAGCTCTCCATCTCTATCTCCCTCTCTCTCACTCTCACACGCAATCTGCGTTTCTCTCTGTCCAGCTGTAGCTTTGCTCGGCTTTATGGTGTCAATTACCTTTTTCATTGGACACCACAAATATTTTAAAGTTACGCTTACGCACTGATGATAAGCACAACACTAAATAATGGCTAGTAGAGTGATTGTTGTGTGGGTGGGTTGGTGTGCCGGGTGCGGGGGGCTGGTAAATTCACTTTGAAAATATGTAGTTAGTGATGAGTGCGTGACTATTGCAACAGTGCTCACGGCAACCACAGCATATCTTTAACAACTATTTACCGGCTGAATCAACAAGGACACATGCACACTATCTATATATATACATACCTATATATATGTAAGGCGAAGCAAAGAAGGAAAAGAGAAAGGCGCGATGATTCACGCTTTAGTTGTTGTGTAGCTGGAGATGAGCGCGTGATGTTAATGCTGATTTTAAATTAAGTTGAATATTTCCCCCGAAAAGACACAATAAAGTCACTTGTACAGATTGTCAAGAACATAGAAAGAAAGCCCTCCACAAAATATAATATATATATATATCGAAAAAAGTTAAGTGTAAATTAAAAAGGTATAATTATTAGCAATTGGGTCAGACAATTGGAAAAGTAAAAAACCAACTTAATTGAAAACTTTCAAATGTATATCACAAGCTTTGCACACTCTTCATCTCTCTCTCTCTCTCTCTCACACACATACTCACGCACACAGTCACGCACTCATCTCAACTCGAGCAGTGTCAACGAACACAATCATTTTGGCGAGAGCTTACGCACCCCTCTCCCTGCCACGCATCGCTCCTCGCTCTCATCTCGCAACTGAGCATCGTTAAATTCGCCATAATTTTTTAATGCAGCGTCACTATGCTTAATGTTTTATGCTGTCTATGTCACTCTCTCTCTCTCTATCCCTCCCTCTCTCTCTGCCACGATGCTGCGCAGTGCTTGACATTATCTGCAGCGCAACAAATACAATTTAAGAGCAACAACAATGCAATTTCAATCAGCTGCGGAAACGGGTAAAAGCTTTCTTTTCTTGAAACACGGCTTGACGCCAAGCGTAGAAAAACAGCAGCAAAATTATTAAGCATCGATTTGCATCGTCACATTGTAATTACCAATCAAAAAATAATTAATTTTGTTCTTAAATCAAATACAAACATTGTCAATTTTAGTAATCTCGATATTCCGAAACGTAAGATATTTTCGGAACAGATATGGCCAAATATTTCTTCATTTAATACCTTAAACGTTACATTACATTTCTTCAAGTCAAAGTCTGCAATTAATAAGGTTTATTCAAATAAAACTAATTCAGCTAGAAACATGAGCCTAATTTCTTAAATTCAACATGAGATGCACAATTAATTGATTGAAAAATATCGATTATATCTATAGACTCAGGAAGTTAAATCTCATTTATAATGTTTTTTATTTAATTTGGAAAATATTTGCTTTTTACTTTGAGTATATAATGCTTTCACGTGTACTTTAAACATATACTATAAAATCGTCATTGGTTTTGTTAATTTGAGTGTGAATAGTTTTTTATTTAATGGGATTGCGATTGATTCATCTAATTGGAAATGAGTGATATATTCACCTACAAATTAAAAGTCGAATCGCTAAATTTGATTGAGCCCAACTAATGAGATCATTTGGGCAACTGCAAAACGGAGAGAGAACAGCCAGTTAAATCGCGAGTATCATTTAAATGAATAGTGTGCAACTGCAACTGCATTAAATAATAATAATGCGAACTTTAGTTTGTTGTTGACCAGTTGCTGTTCGCCTTAAAATGATAACAACAACAAAAACAACAATCAAATTCACCGTTCACTGAGTGAGTCAGTCGGTCAGATGACTCTCTCTCTCTCCCTCTCTGATTCTGATTCGCACAGACAGCACGGCGTTTTGGGGGGCTGAGAGCGAGCGAGTGGGAGAGATACAGGTGGAGTTTGCGTGCTTTGCGCCAATTACGGATCGTAGCGTTCAGAGACAGAGTCCAGTTAGCCCATTGTTAGTGGTCGTAAGGATTTTTGCACGTCTGTGGCATTAATTTTGCAGTTTACTTCTAATTATATGCCAGGAAATGAGTCATTTTTCAAACAATGGCAAGCTGTGCTTAGCAATAATAACAATAAAACAACTTTCTAACATTAACTTTGGTAATTACAAAAATATATATTTATTAATTTACTAGCAGCTGTTACATTCGACCATTTGCTTCATTCATCCATTCAAAACAACAAATCGAGCGCGAGAACTGCATGATGTTTCAGCCCTCGCATCAGCAGTGTCGCACGACCAAACAGCTGATGCTGGTGCTGCCAGCTCTGGTGACAGCCCTCGCGCGCTTTTTTTTATTCTTATTTGACTGTTCATTCTTTGAAAATACCACATGAATTTGCCAAAATATATGTTTTATTATTTTTGTTGTTTGGCTTATGTTGATTCCCTTAAGCAAATCAAACGAATATCATTGCCGGATTTGTGTATAAACTATCTGGCAACGCTCGACTGTGAGACGGGTTGTCGTCGTCTCTGCGTGCGCATGCATATGTGTGTTTTAGAGTGCGTGTTCTCGCTCTGTGCTTGTGTGTGCGAGAGTGTATGAGTATGTGTGAGTGTTTTGAATGCCTGTATGTGTTTGCGCCAGTGCTAAGGCAGTGAAGCAGCGCGAGCGAGCGAGCGAGCAATACAAAATAAAATTTTGCGCAAAAAGGTCCAAAAATCTGATCAATAAATTGTAGTTAAAATTGACTGTGACCTGAAACGCGTGTGCGAGACTAGAAATAAACAATTGTGCCTTCATATTTTGCCATTAGCCAAGGCAACTGACAAACAAAATCGGTCTCGAAATCGCTGCTCCCAAAAAAAAAAGCAGAACGTAAGCAACGATAACAGCAGAAAATTTTTGTACGCTGCTCGCGCGTCGTGCTGCCAACTGCGTGAAAAGTGTTTTGGCTTTTTTTGTTTTTTTTTTTTAACCGCCTGCCAGGCAGCCACCGCCACCGCCACCCAATCGAAAGCACCAACAAAAACAACAAGTAGGACCAAAAATCGCGGGCATAAATATTGAGAAACAAATCAGAGCTCTCATCTCAGCTCCAACTCTGCTGTTCTCACTTGTCTCGTCTTGTCTTGTGTGTGTGTGGTGTGCGTACAGTTGAATTTTTCAACAAGTTGCCAGCACAGCGCGCAACGCGACACAAACACACTCAAACACACACACACACACACATGCATATATATATACAAATACAAGCGCGCGCATAGTGGAGAGAAACAGAAAACAGCAAAAACATCAGCAGCAACAACAACAAGAGGAGCAGCAACGTTTTTTAGTGATGTCATCAGAAAGTAAGTTTGCCTTTTTTTCTTTTTTTTTTTGTTTGCTTATAACACAACGTCGTCATGACGTCATTTCATAAAAATACACACAACAGTTGAGACAGTATGGTCGTTAATGTTGTTGTTGTTGTTTTGTCGTTGTCATCATTGTCGTCGTCATTTTTGTAGCAAGCAAACAAAACAAACCAAACAACAGTTGAAGGTAGAGGCAACAGCAGCAGCAGCATTGGTGACAGTGACAGTCAGCGGGTGTGTGTGTGTGTGTGTGTGTGTGCGCGCGCGTGTGTGTGTGTTGGTGTGTGCATTTGTTTTTGTTGTTGCTGGTGTTGTTGGTGTTGTTGTTGCTTTCACGAACAATTACCAATTGGCAATAAACAATCGAACAATATTGTTGCAACTTGAAACCAATTTAGTGCACATCTCTCTCTCTCCCCCCTCTCTCTCTCTTTGTCTCTCTCCCTCTCTCTATATATATATATATATATATATGTGAATTGCAACTACAACAAATATTACTACTATTTCTCTTTCTGTGCCTCTGTCTCGATTCTGTGGCGCCTCCTTCCATCTCTTTCATTGCTTGGCCAACCGTCAATTGTTAACCATCATCATTCGCCATCGCCACCGACTCGCCTCGCATCGCTTCGCGTCTTCGCATCTCCGTCGTTGTTGCAGTCGTCGTCCAGCATTCAAGTTCAACTTCAAACTGGCAAAATTGAAACGGAAAAGACGCCAAACTGAAGCACTTATCGGAGAGCGTAACGGTGCTGCTGAAAATCGCTAAAATGGATAGCATCGTCGAGGAGAACGGCAACTCGGCCTCCAGCGGTAATGTCAACGATGTTGATGTCACAGCAGCCGTAGCCGCCGCCGCCGCAGCAGCAGCAGCGGCAGCAACAGGCGGCCAACAGCAACAACAGCAGCAGCAGCAACAACAACAGCAGCAGCAGCAGCAACAACAGCAGCAGCAATCACAAAACAACCAGCAAAGTACAACGGGCGGCGTTCCGGCGACGGCCAACACAAACAATGCCAGCGGCGCGGCCTCCGTGCTGACAACAACCGCCAATTGCAATATACAATACCCAATACAGGGTCTAACGCACGGCCTACAGGTAAGCACCATCCCTTTTCCCCAATCCCCAATCCCAATCCCCATTCGCATTCCTCAAACACGTCCGAAGATCACTTTGAAACACTGCAGTTAATAGGCATTGAAGTTTGCTTTCGAATATCAATATACATATATATATATATATATTCAGTAGGTATTTCTCGATTCGAAAACTGTAATTTTCGCTGCAAAAATAATTGGCAAAGCAACTGCTTTTATATATGTATATAAAAATATTAAAAATGATTAAATTAAAAAACATTATAATTCTTGTGGTTATCGAACTGATTTTCTGTTTCCTTCAATTTTGATTTCCTATTTTCTGTTATTAAAAATGTTTTTCGCAATAATTTATAGATTTTCTTTGAATATTTATTCATTATATTTTGTCCTTAAAATTCCTTTTACAAATCACCTCTGAAACCGAAAAGTTTGAATCTTTTATTGATCACAATACCCAATTGTCAAAAATCTTTACCAAACTGGTCGATAAATAAAAGTTAAAGCAGCTTTTCAAGCAACCCATTCAAAAACAATATTGATTATTTGAAGAGTACTCCCAGCATTATTCAGTCTGTCCGATTTATATTGATCTATATGTGCTTTCGTAGGTACAATCCGTGATACAGGCGGCCAATCACTCAGGTGTCATACAAACCGCTGCGGGAACACAACAGCAACAACATCAGCAGCAACAGCAGCAGCAGCAGCAACAACAGCAGCAGCAGCAGCAGCAACAACAACAGCAGGCGCTGGTCGCCGCATCGACGATGCACAAGGGCGGAAGTGGAGTCGTCTATGTGACCAAGCCGGCGAACACGACGGTCATCCACACGGCCACGGGCAACGCAGTGCAAGTGCGTAACAAAGTGCGTAGCATTCGCCAACAGCAATCTAACTACAAGCACATCGAGCACATCGATTCCTATTGTTTTATATTATTATTGTTGTAGTTATTATTACTGTTGCTAATCGATTTCACATTCGCAGATCCCTCCAAATTTTCAATGTAAGATCAAACCCGAACCGAATACCCAGCATCCGGAGGATAGCGATGAGAGTTTATCGGACGAGGATTCACAGCATATGCGCAGTAATCTGACACGAAGGCCATCGTACAATAAAATCTTCACCGAGATCAGTGGACCCGACATTAGCGGTAATAATATATATACACTTATATATATCTATATATATATATCATTTTTGTTGTTTTTTTTTTTGTCGTAAACAAAGCTGAACGCCATAACTGCCCCACCCCACCCCACCCACCACCACACCCGCCCCAGTTTCTGTATATCTGTCTCTCTCTCTCTCTTTATCTCTATCCCTGTCTCTCGCTCTTAATCTCTTATCTGTTTCTGTGTCCTGTGCATCTAAGCTCTACCATCTGACAACAAGCATAGTTTCAATTTGACTCCTCCGTTGTGGGAGACCGGATGCACTTGCTCCTAGATGCCCAGATTGTGGGGGAAACGACGAGTGGGCGTGACCAGACCGGGACAGGTGCGTTAGGATAAATTGCAAGCATAATAGGAAATTAAGGCACCTACCGTATGGAGAAAGGATAAGGGCATATATGATAGCTAGGAATACGATTTTTGAGGAACGGAAGCTTGATGGGATGCGTTTAGTGACGCATAGGGTAAAGAAGGCGGGCGAACGATTCACGAAGCGACGCTTAGTGAAAAGACAAGTTGTGGAATCGGCCAAGAGAGGAGATAGTCGAGGTTCGAGGTGTTTGCCGAGGTCAGCATTGAAGGTAAACAAATTGCGGGACTTTTGGATACCGGTGCCTCAGTGAATATTTTGGGGCGTGGCTCTCGTGAGTTTCTGGTCGAGATCAAAGTTCACGTGGAGCGTTATGTGTCTAGCGTGAGAACCGCTTCTGGGGAGGACCGATCCATTATAGGCCGGGTACGCACAAGAGTCACATACGAAGAAAAGGAGGAGGACATGACGCTATTCCGGTGAAGGACCGACACTATCCGCTGGCCCCGGCGATGGAGAAAGTAGTTTGGGGCGAGGTGGACAAGATGTTGGCCCTGGGAAATCCAAATCGAACACCGAAAAGGGGCTGACAACGTCGTCGCTGACACTCTCTCTCGCAGCGTAGCTGAACTAGCGCTTGACTTGAACCAAATGCTAGGTTTCTAGACAGTCGAGTTCGAGTCTGCAGAATACAAAGAGATTGTGGCGGAGGTCATTAGAAATCAGGATCGATTGCCGTATTTGTGCGCTGAGGACGGACTGTTGTACAACCGAACCGGGCTTACAAGAATGGAAGACGAAGTCGAGGGTACTTTGTGGAAGTTATGGGTGCCTGAATCTCTTACTTCAACGCTCATAGAACAAGCTCACGTGGACGCGAAGGCTTCCCATGGAGGCGTAACGAAAACTCTCCACCGGTTACGGAGACAATTCTACTGGCCCAACATGGCGGTTCAAGTTCGTGAATACGTTAGGGAATGCGTGGTGTGCAAAGAAACGAAGGCCTCGAACCAAAGGATGCAAGTGTCCATAGGGCAGGAGGTTAAGACAGAACGACCGTTCCAGAAATTGTACATCGACGGGAAATTTAAGGGCGATGGGAAAATCAAATCCGTGCAGGCCCATTACAGGAAGGGCGGGTACGTCGTGGCCATAAACACCACGCCCGTCAGCTGTTTCGTTTGTTTTGTGTGTGCATGTAGGTCTTTAGGTAGTGTTGTGTAGGTCGAGTTGTTTTTGGAGTCTGTACCGTCCACGGGCAGGGTTGGAGTTACCCAGTTACCCACCTCTGGGAATACTGAGCTAGCCGAGGTTGCCCACTGTGAAACACTGGACGTGTTACAATATCCAATCTGACTATATTCATATTAGGCAGGACGAAATTGTTGTAGCGGGGGGCCACAGATCTAATATCATTCTAGAATAATATATTTCAAACATAGAAGAGAAGTTGTTCAAGTAAAAAAGAAAACAAATGAAAATCTATTTGTCAACCGAATAGCTTTAAAAATGAGAGACAAGCTTGGGCAGCAGAACACGGCTATAAACTAATTATAAAAAATACAAATATAAATAATAACTATACCTTTATAGATATAAATAATAATTTGTATAGATTCTTAAACAGTAAAGTACGGTTAGTCTTTTGGTAGAGCTTGGCAACAACTCCTGCAAAACTTGAACGGGGAGTTTCTTGCACTCAGTCATCATATCTTATAAGCCATTTTCGTATGTGTAACCGTTACATGTCCCCTCATGTTTCCCTCCGCTCCCCTCACGTTCCCATAAGTACATACATACATGCATACATACAAACATGCGTCACCCGAGAGACTTGCAAACATTTCAACATATTTCGCTATTCACCTTCACCATGCTAACAATGTTGTTGCTGTAGTTGTTGTTTCTTTTATAGTTGTCATTTTCAAACACACACACACACACACACACAAAAAGCCAAAGCATTACTGTTGTAGAGCTGTACAGTTATTTCTCTTGTTATGCGTGTCCTATCTCTCTCTCTCTTTCTTTCTCATGTGCACTTGCCATTTGTTATTATTTATTGATGTCCTCGTTGTTGTTGTTGTGTTGCGGTTGTAGTCTAAACTTCTTCAAATGTCGCCAAGAGTGACTAGGATAACGCGCAGCATTTATCTCAGCTCGTCATTTAATTCTTGTAAATACAACAGTATATAATATTCACTCACACACAGACAACACACACACACAACACTCATACACAACAAATGTTTATACATAATTCGTTTTCTTTTGTTTTTATCGCGCGTCTTTGTTTCTCTTGGCTTTCTTGTTGTTGCTGCTGCTGTTGCTGTTGCTGTTGTTGATGTTGTTGTTGTTGTTGCCGTTGTTGTTGCTGCCCGTGCTACTACTGCTGCTGTTGATGCCACACACATAAACACACACACACACACACACAGGCCACCACAGTTAAAACAAAAACAAAACAAACGCACCACCACCCAACCAACCAACCAACCAGCCAGCCACCCACATCGCTCATACATCAAATACATCATGCATAAGCATATATACATACACACATATATATATATATATATATACATATATATATAGTATACATAAATACATATGTACTTATAACAAACGTGGACCGTTGCCGTCGCCGTTGCTGTTGTTCTCAAACTAACCAACCAACATTTGCCTCTCGCTCTCGTTCTCGTTCGATCGTTTCGCTCACTCGCACTCACACCAGACACCACCTCACAAATGAAGAAAAAAAAGAAAAAACAAAAACATGTCGAACAATATGTTTTCTTATAATTTTTATTGTTGTTTTTTTTTTTTGATTTCTTTTTGACTGCTCGCGAAAAATCAAAAACAAAAATCCAATCAATATTGCATCAAATATCCAATGACAACAACAACAACTACTACTACGACAACAACAACAACAACAACCCTCCAACCATCTCCCAAAAATATCAATGTAACAAAAAACAAAAAAAATACCGAACCAAAAACCTCAATGGTGGTGCAGCGGGCGGAACACTCCAAATGCCCGACGGCATCGTTCTCAGCTCACAGCTGGGTAGCGGGACGGGGGGCGGCGGCAGCGGCGGCGGCAGCAACAACAACACACCAGGCAGTCCATTGCTGCACATGGCGCCAGACCCGGCCTTCTATTTGCCATCCAATCGGATAGCATACAATACCAGTAAATGCCAAAAACATCAGCTACAAATAGCAAAAAAAAAAAAAAAGAAAGAAAATAAAATAAAATCAAAATCAAAATAATAATAATAATACACAAAAATAAAATGAATAGAAATGAAAACTAATTCTTGTTCTTCTCTTGCAACGCATTCTATTTGTGCAACACAGATAACAGCGGCATTGCGGAGGATCAGACGCTCAAGCGGCAAATACGATTGCAAAAGAATCGGGAGGCGGCGCGCGAGTGCCGGCGCAAAAAGAAGGAGTACATCAAGTGCCTGGAGAATCGTGTGGCGGTGCTAGAGAACCAAAACAAAGCGCTCATCGAGGAGCTCAAGTCGCTGAAGGAGCTCTACTGTCAGACCAAGAACGATTGAACGTGGTGCCGATGCTGGGATGGGCAGCGGCGCTTCGTTCTGGCAGAAGCAGCAACAGCAACAGAAATATCAGCAGCAACAGCAACAACGGCGACAACAGCAGCAGCAACAGCAGATGCAGCAGCAGCAGCGGCAGCGTCGTCAAATGTGGCAACAACAGCGGCAGCAGCTGCAGCAGCAGCTTCAGCTTTAAGTCAACACACAAGCGGCCTGGCAACAACCAACAAGACGATAATTACGATGACGATGACGATGACGACGACGCTGACAATGACGAGAATGATGATGTTCATGTTGTTCAGGACGCTTACAAGGATGTGGACGAGTACAAGGACAATGACAATGATGACGCTGACGATGACGATGACTTTTACGGTAACGACTGCAGCCGGCCGCATATCATGGTTAACATACATATAAAGCGCTATATGTAGTTTAATTTATTTAATATGAGCATGTTGTTGTTGCCATACAAAAAAACACACACACAGAGACACACACACACACACACACACACAGAGAGAGACACACACACACACACTGGTTGTGTGTGCTGCTGGCTTGTTGGCCAAATGTTGCCATCAACATTTGCGTGACGAACATGCAGCAGCAGCAAACAGACAGACACACACACACACACACACATGCACACACACACACACACACACATGCACACACACACACACACACACATGCACACACACACACACACACACATGCACACACACACACACACATGCACACACTATACAGAGACACAACACACGGACACAGACGAAACACAATGTAATTATGTTTATAATTTAAATGTGTAATATTATTTTAAAGCTTATGTTTATGCGTTAGTTGTATTTGCTAATTAAATTATGCTACACAGTAAATTTTACTGTTGATTAATTATTATGATTATCATTAATTTTCCTCTCTTTATATTAATTTTATTTTTTTGTTTTTTTTTTGTGTGTGTTTTACCCATTATTCGCGACATTGTTATGCATTAAGCATTGTGCGAAAACAGCAAAAGTAAAACAAAAAAAGAAAAGTTTTTAGCTAAATTTATAAGCAGCGTCTAGCAAAATTCTCTCATCAGGCTCCAAACTTGTACGAAAAGCAAACAAAAACTAAAACTAAAACAAAACAAAAGAAACGAAAAAGAAAAAACATCTTTGAAACATTTGTTTATCCATTTTTAATGGGTGTACAAAATAAACAAACATAATTAAAATTAAGTTTTAAAATTTGTAATTTATAATTTGTAGAAAGCGGAACAATATGCATATATATCTATATATATATATATATATGTCTTGAATTGCATGTATTGAATTGCAAAGACATAGAAGACCTCAACCCAACAAAGATCCTTAAGTTCGTACGGGAGTTGGGGCTGATGGAGGAGCAATAAGCTCAGAAGAGGGCACAATAGATCAAATAGGTCGCGGTGCAGCTTCCCCAATAATAATATATATATGTATGTATGTATGTATGTATGTGTAATGCTATACGTATGTATGTATATACGATTGTGTATGTATTTAATGAAATTATTTAAATTTTTGTTACATAATTTTAGATATGGCAGTTTCTTTCAACAAAAAACAAAATACAAAAACAAACAGCAAACAGCAAAGCAAAACGTCTCCAAACCAAACCCCCTCTCCACCTTAGCATAGGTTACACAATTTGCGCACGCCACAAAAACAATAAATGTATAAATCTCTATGCATATTTATACATTTATATATATAAAATATATGTAGTTAGCGAATATTTGTACACTATTTGTATTTTTAGCTGATGCGATAAGAGCGATGAGGAACATTAAACAAATATGAAAATGCAATTCTAAAAACAAAAAACAATTGTTCAATAACTTTTTTTTTGACAGCTACGGATAGCCAGGAGCAGCAAAAGAAAAACACACAGAACAAACAAACAAACAATAACAACTGCAATAAAAAAATCAACGAAAGCTTCGTCATATTTTGTAAATGTTAACAGAAAAAGAAAGTGCAAAAGAAGCAACTATGAAACAAAACAAAACAAAACAAAACAAAAAACATACATATAAAGCAAAAACTCTCGTTATCTCTTGTGATCAACTCAGTTGTTGTTATAAATGAAAAACAAAAAACGATTTAAAAAAACCCAAGGCAAAGAAAGAATGTTTAAGAACAAATAAAGAAAAAGCAAACATAGTATATGTAAATGCAGGCAAACCCAATTGTTGCATGCAACTTTTTTTTATATGAATTAAAACTATGTAGAGATGCAAGCGAAATGGATAACGGATATGGAAACAATGTCAAGAACAGAAAGAATATATATATAAACATGTATATACAAATATATATATATATATATACATAAAAACAAAACACTTTATATAAATCGATATACAAAAATACATGCATACACACACAATATAAATGTGTATATATATGTATATATATATATATATGTATATGTATATATCTATCTATTTTTGATGTCGAAATCAAATGAGCAAAAAACACTTTCGGATTATAAAACAAAAAGGAAAACTTGAAAAGAAAACACAAAAAAAGAAGAAGAAAACGAAAAACGGAGCGAAACTTTTTTAGCTGTTCAGAAATGCGGCATAACAACCAGGCAAGAGTTGTATAAACAAATAAACAAATATTTTTATTGTCATTGCATAATTTTTAAGGTAGTAATTTTAATATTTAAAACATAAGCAACAAAACAAACAAAACTGACAACCGAAAACAAACGCAAAATGAGTATAGAAAAAATCAACAAAAAAAAAAAACAAAACAAAACAAAAACAAAAGTGAAAAAAACAAAGCAGTAGAACTTACAATATTGTTATAAATATTTGTCTCAATGAGAAAAACAACAAAAAGAAACAAAATATAAAAAAAAACAATAAAAAATTTTAAAAAAATATATTTTTTTATCTTTTTTTTTTAGTTACCATCACTTTAGATATTTGGGCTTTAAACTAATTTTCACATCCGAATTGACATCCTGAGTATAAATAATACCAGCAGTGATTGCTGTATGATCCTGGCGATTGCTTCCCTTCTTGAAAATTCAAATCCGAATTCAATTACATTTAAAAAGAGCAATATACATTTATTAAGTACAAAACTAGGACGCAGTAGTATAATAATTACAAATATATTCCAAGGGCGTATCCAGCTTGTTGCACCCTTGTTTATGCATGTGTATAAATAAAAGCCAAATTGGACACAGACAACTACGGATACATAGTACACATATAGTACGTAACACAAAAAATACAAATACAGTTAATATAGAGATTCACAGTTGTTAAATCAGTTCCGTTATTGGTCGCCGTCTCCAATGGATTTGCGGCTCGTTGCTTTCGAATGCTCCACGCATCATTATATATCATATCCATATATCACATATGTATGCAGGCGGAAGGACGACGAAAATGGAAAATGGGGATGGGGATGGAGATGGGGATGGGCAGGCGGGGAGGAGCACAGTCTCTCAGGCAGTCTTTTTGAGATGGCTTACGATATGATCAGATATAGGACAAACATGCCAATGCCGACGTAGTGACTGAGATAGCCGGCTGCTGACCAGTGGTACATGAAGGGCAGCTCATTCTCCGCGATGAGCGTCTCGTTCATCAGCACAACGCCCAAATAGGCCAGATGGCAAATGGCGAGCAGTGTAAAGATCAAATTGGTCAGCGTCACCAGCACAGAGCTGACAGTGAAGCGGCCACGTCGTTGCGGGCAGTTCGCATAGCGACATCGTTCGGCGCCCGGGCACGGAATTGGCGGCGACACAGGCATTGAAGAGCGTGGCCAGATGCCGGCGCAGCATTGACTCGCCCTCGGCAAAGGTGGCCAGCGACAACAGCACCAGATAGATGCGAAAGTCCATGCCGTGCAGCAGCGATGACACCAGATACGTGGACAAAACAGCCACAACGGTGTTGTGGCGAATACTTGACTGTTGCTGCTGCTGCTGGTGCTGCTTCGATGTGGAGTATACGTAGCGCTTGAGCCACTCATGCATGGGTATGTTCCAGCAGCGCACCAGAGCGCTCAGCGATCGCGGCCACTCAATGTGGAAGGGACGCACGACAAGCTCGCCAACATCCAGCTGCTGGCCGGCGGCAGCCAGTTGGGCCTGGCTGAGCAGGCTCACAAAATAGTGGCTGGTGCGCACGCTCATCGCTCCGGTGTACATGAGCAGCCAATGCGAGAGGCTGCCGTTGTGCGTCGAGGGGTGCTCTTCCATCGGCAGATACAGTTCACCCAGCGCTGGCGCAATGCAATTCGAGATGGCCAGCGCCACCAGGCTGAGCACCACATTGAGCAGCATCTGGCAGAGGCTGCCGCCAGTGCGGCTTCTGGTGCAGCGAGTCCAAGTAGCGGCCATAGCTTATCCACGGTCCCAGCGCACAGCTGGCCGGATTTAGCACATAGCCCAGATAAGCGAGAATGTTGGGCATGCGCAGAGCCGACGAACCCGGCGTCGCCATCAAATCGTAGCCCAGCGATATGATCTTCATGTTGGTCACCATTTGCAAGCCGCGCAACTGCGGCCAATCGTCCCGCTTCTGCCAGATGGCCAGCTCGTAGATGAATTGGCTGCCAATGCTGAGCACGGCAATTGCTGTTGCGCCACGTTGTCCACGGCCCATGCGCACCAGCTGCAGTAGCAGATAGCTTATGCCGCTGAGCAGTAGGAGGATCAGCATACGCTGGCCAAGCGTTGCGTAGAGGACTCCCAAGCCGCAGAGCGCATTGATCAAGTGGAGCGGTGCCAGCTTCAAACTGTTTGCTTCCGCCCAGCTGCAACTGGTGCCCCTGGTGCTGCTGGCCACCAGTCGCCTCCTGCTGGCATAGATCGAACTGAGCAGCCGGCAGAGCAGGCAGCCCAGCATCAGTGGCATTATGTAGCCCAACACTTGATGCAGCGATGGCAGAATGCAGTGCTCATAGCTGTCCCACAAGCGATCCGTGACGTCAGCATATGTCACGTAGTGACCCTCAGAGGTGCCCTGCTCCTCCTGATCGGTGTACGCATCCTCGCTGAGGCTGCTGTCAGCATCATCATCTCCGTAGTCAGGCTCTTCGTCGTAGTACTGATAATCCATCCTATCAGCCACATATATACATATATATATATATATATATATATATGTATATAGACTGAGCCACGTACTTGAGAAAGTGCACCTGCTGGCTGGCTTGCTTGCTTGCGTGCTTGCAGCAGCTGAAAGACCAACTACCAAGCAGCTCTCTTTCGATTCTTCTCAATTCAACGTTTAAAATGTAGTTTCATCTTTCGAGCTCTCAATTGCTATGGCAACCGCAGCGATATTCCTTAGTTCTTTAGGATATTGCGAGCCAGTCGTTCCGATAGCCGGCGATAGTTCAAGCGTTAGTGATGCCAACTGCTGAAAAACGATAGATTAACAAAAGATGGCCGAGATTCATTTGTAAAGGAATACGACTGGAATGATTCAAAGAAGAATATATATATATATATATATATATATATATATATATATATATATATATATGTAACTAGCAATTTAAAGTTGGCCAGACCTAATTTTAACGAGCAATTCCAAGCTCATATCTAAATCTCGTTAAATATGTAGATGAATGCAAATTCATTTTCTTGCCTTTTTTGCCATGTATTTTTGTGATTTCTGTAGGTAAGGGGTACAGAGAAAAAACGAGTCCAAATTCCAAATAAAGTTTAAAATAATTGAATTGATTAATTAAATGGCCGACATCTAATATAGCATAAGGAACTTTATTGAACTATAATTTTGCGGTTACAGTCTTTTCTATTATCTATTATTGTAAATATCTAATGAGATTGTTAAGTTAATTCTTATTATTATTGGGCCCGCTTCTGAAGTTCCTATAGCTCTTCCGAGGATTCCTCCTCGTTTTCTATTCGCCACCAAATGTGCGTAAATAAGTCTCATAGCGGCTGCCATCGATGGGCTTTAAGTCCTTCTCCAAATCCGTGCGGAACTCCTTTATATCGTTTGCATCGTCCTTTATCTTCTCAATCTCCGAGCTAAGGCATTTGAGCAGTGCTTCTTCTTTGGCAGTCCCTGTCTCCTTCGCCATCGAGTGGTCCAAACGCTGTGTCAGTTCATTGCGTATGTTTCTCGTTTCGTAGCTGACGATTTTGGCCAAGGCCTTGGCTGGCGTTCGTCTGGGATTGGGAGACATTTTTGGGAGCACAATGAGTGCTGGCTCCTTAAACCCATCCGGAACCGGACCCGGATTGGTTGGTGTGTTCGGCAGTACAATTGTTGCCGGTGCTGGTGCGATTGGCTGCAACTTTGGCTTCGGCTTTGGTGGCGACTTTGCTGGCGACTTTGGCTGCGTTTTTGATTGCTTTTGGGTCTTTACCAACTTGGTCAATGCACGTACCGGTGTCCCCTGCAGGTTAACAGATATCGGGGATGCGGTTGCGGAACCATTTGTGTATGCAGTCGATGGATGGCCATTCTCGATTGCTGTCTCCGATGTTGAAGGCTGATTAATGAAATGCTCTAGCGAGGCTTCCTCCGGGTGAACATCAATTGGCAATGGTTGTTGGAAATTCATCAAGTGAAATTCGCCATTCGGATCGTAAAACTTGTAGCCAAGCATTTCCAGTGCAATTTCGGTAAGTAAGTACGACATTTTAATAGAGCAACTCGGACTAACTCATTAAGTTTGAAGCTGGAAGCCGAATAGGCGAATTATAGAGATGAGCTACGTGGCTGAACCGATTAATGATACAATCGAACCAGAAGAAAACAATGAGCAGTTGAGTGTTGCCAGTATTGCCACTTTGAGTATTTATCGGACAGATCAGCTGTTTTTTATTTTGACTTTGTTATGCCTTGCATGTCGAAAGCACCAATATATCGCTCAGCCGGCTAGCTATCGGCTCAGGGGTAGTTCGACCGCGATATATTGGGAGCAAGTTAACAAAAAAAAATTGTATTCTTTTATAAATAAAAAATAACAAATATTTCCATCAAACCAGTCCGCTCGCTGCTGTGTTGGCTGTGTGGATGTTGTACAGCCTGCGTGTCCCTCCCTTCCTTGTGATTCCTTCTCTAAATTTCCTGGAGAAATTCCCTTTCATAATTATTTCTTGCTCGTTTGCTTCTTATGCCCTCATCTCACCCAATCACATTATTTACCACATCATGTTCCTTTTTTTAGACTATTTAATTTACAATTCATATGATACATGTAACATCGTGATCCCTAACCTTTTTGCTGGCCAACACTAAATTCTCTTATATACAGTGTCTCACAGTTCAAAAGACCCAGTGTCTAGCAAAAAATTTAAAGTGCTATAAAGTTTAAACAAAGAAACAAACGCAAAATGTTTAAATGCCAATTTGTTTTATGTTATATCACGTTTGAAAAATAAACTTTAGTTTTTATTAAAATATTAATTAATTAATTAAAATTAGTCAAAAACTGAAAACATATCCAAAATACATGTCAAAGCTCATTTGGCCCAGTCGAAGAAAAGTAACATATTTGGCGTATAAAAACTTAAATAAGGATCTTAATACTTAGTATGATACCCCTTAGCCTTAATAACCTCCCTTAACCTATTATTCATGGAAGATACCAGCTTCCGGGTGGTTTCTGGACTGACTTTGCTCCACTCATCCAGCAGAGCATTCTTAAGATCCTGTTTGCTGGATATGTTGTGATTCCGGATGTTATTTTCCAGCAGAGCCCACAAATTTTCAATGACATTTAAGTCTGGAGACTGGGCCGGTGGAATTATCATGTGGGGGCAGTTCCAGATAATCCAGGACTGTACTATTCCGGACTTATGCTTCGGGTCGTTGTCCTGGTAGAACCGGAAAGTACGTCGGATTCCTAGCTTCTCGGCACTTTGGAGTAAATTTTCCTTCAGTATATTGAGGTAAACATATTTGTCCATAGTTGGTTCAATAAACACCAAATTCCCGACGCCGGCTGCCGAGATACATGCCCATACCATGACACTTCCTCCGCCGTGCTTCACTGTTGCCCTTAGGTGTTTGGGATTCAGCTCAGTATTGGGCTGTCGCCACACATAATTCCGTCCGTCTAAGCCAAAAATGTTGAATTTGGGCTCATCTTCAAATATTAATGTGTTCCAGAACTCCAAATCCTTGTCCAAGTGGGTTTTGGCGAACGTCATCCTAGTCCCTTTATTTTTTGCGCTTATAAAGGGCTTCTTCCGTGGTACTCGGGCATTAAAGTCATGGTTGCGCAGAACCCGGCGCACAGTTTCCACACTGCACTTTTTCCCCATTTCATCCTGCACCTGTTGAGTCAGTTGAGAAAGTGCACCTGCTGGCTGGCTTGCTTGCTTGCGTGCTTGCAGCAGCTGAAAGACCAACTACCAAGCAGCTCTCTTTCGATTCTTCTCAATTCAACGTTTAAAATGTAGTTTCATCTTTCGAGCTCTCAATTGCTATGGCAACCGCAGCGATATTCCTTAGTTCTTTAGGATATTGCGAGCCAGTCGTTCCGATAGCCGGCGATAGTTCAAGCGTTAGTGATGCCAACTGCTGAAAAACGATAGATTAACAAAAGATGGCCGAGATTCATTTGTAAAGAAATACGACTGGAATGATTCAAATAAGAATATATATATATATATATATGTAACTAGCAATTTAAAGTTGGCCAAACCTAATTTTAACGAGCAATTCCAAGCTCATATCTAAGTCTCGTTAAATATGTAGATTAATGCAAATTCATTTTCTTGCCTTTTTTGCCATGTATTTTTGTGATTTCTGTAGGTAAGGGGTATAGAGAAAAAACAAGTCCAAATTCCAAATAAAGTTTAAAATAATTGAATTGATTAATTAAATGGCCGACATCTAATATAGCATAAGGAACTTTATTGAACTATAATTTTGCGGTTACAGTCTTTTCTATTATCTATTATTGTAAATATCTAATGAGATTGTTAAGTTAATTCTTATTATTATTGGGCCCGCTTCTGAAGTTCCTATAGCTCTTTCGAGGATTCCTCCTCGTTATCTATTCGCCACCAAATGTGCGTAAATAAGTCTCATAGCGGCTGCCATCGATGGGCTTTTAGTCCTTCTCCAAATCCGTGCGGAACTCCTTTATATCGTATTGGTTGGTGTGTTCGGCAGTACAATTGTTGCCGGTGCTGGTGCGATTGGCTGCAACTTTGGCTTCGGCTTTGGTGGCGACTTTGGCTGCGTTTTTGATTGCTTTTGGGTCTTTACCAACTTGGTCAATGCACGTACCGCTGTCCCCTGCAGGTTAACAGATATCGGGGATGCGGTTGCGGAACCATTTGTGTATGCAGTCGATGGATGGCCATTTTCGATTGCTGTCTCCGATGTTGAAGGCTGATTAATGAAATGCTCTAGCGAGGCTTCCTCCGGGTGAACATCAATTGGCAATGGTTGTTCGAAATTCATCAAGTGAAATTCGCCATTCGGATCGTAAAACTTGTAGCCAAGCAATTCCAGTGCAATTTCGGTAAGTAAGTACGACATTTTAATAGACTAACTCGTTAAGTTTGAATCTGGAAGCCGAATAGGCGAATTATAGAGATGAGCTACGTGGCTGAACCGATTAATGATACAATCGAACCAGAAGAAAACAATAAGCAGTTGAGTGTTGCCAGTATTGCCACTTTGAGTATTTATCGGACAGATCAGCTGTTTTTTATTTTGACTTAACCGGAAAAATCGGCAAAGCAAGCGATGACAACTGACTATTTATGGTATTAAACTATTAATGAATTAATCTTACAGAACTTCAATTTAAAATGTATCCTTTTTTTCCGTCGATTTTTCTATTTTCGTTCGATTTGTCCGAATTGTGTAGTCGAATATTAGCAACCCTGTATGTAAACGTTATATCGATATATCGATGTATATGGCTTAATGCTTCTTAGTGAATTCGCTTCCAAATGAATGCAAACGAAGCGTGTTAATTGGCATTTAATAATTTTCAGGAAACTAGAAAAAATGTCACCAACTATGTCGAAACTATCTTGATGTTCTTGGATCAGACAATATCCTTATAGATCTTTAATTTTGTTTTGACCAACAGCTGGCTAAACACTGTTCAAATCGTATAGATAATTTTCAAGAAAACAAGGATTTAATAAATTCGACTCATTACCTGTCGCTCTGCGAGTGCCATTTTTACAAATGGTTGGGTTCCTTGATGGAAATCAATAAAGTTCATTCTTGATGTCCCCTTTTGAACCATCCCAAAAGTATGCTTAATTTTTGTTGGTGTATCTGGAAGAGTGCACTTAATATTTTATTATGCACCAAAGAAATATGCTTCATTAAAAATGATTATCAGCCTAAGAATGTGCTAGTTATTTGGCTTATTTTCAATCAAATAACCGCACGGATTAAAAAAGTAATATGTTTGTGTCTTAACTTCACTGTTATTTATATACATATTTATTTATGTTATATACATGCATATATGTTTATTAATAATCAGTTTCGTGATTATCAGAATGTCTTGTGAAATATTTGTTAAAGGGCTTGGCACACATATCGCAGCAATTTAATTAGGGTAACAGTTATCAACTTCTAAAGCATATAAAATCAACTATTTATTAAGATAGGACGGTAAACATCTGCACGGCCGACACACCGATCACACTTTGTATTTTGTTCACCCACCTATAAGATAAGACTTAAATGAAGTACCTGTATTCGATGTCTTTCGGATGTCTCTCTTTGTATGATGCCGGAGAAATAGTTATGTACATAGTTCTCCGCTAGGAGTTTACAACTATGAGCATGTGGTAGTATCTAATTTTTGCGAGAGCGGAGAGTGCGTATTTATTTTTGCACTTGAGCAGTTTGTTGAACTTTGTCCTCCATCCGACAATTCGCTTGCAATGACTGCATTTGCAGCAAAGCAGCAAGTAGCAAGCAGCAAGCAGCAGGTTGGCACTTAACCGATGGCTGCCCCACCCGAAAGGGGGGAAGAAGCGAACAGCGAAAGAGAGACTCAATTGAAAATCGAAACTTCTGGATTAATTAGCAGCAGTTTTGGCTTCTTCTTTTTTCATGCTTATCGCGTCCGTATGTTCGAAATTTAATTATTCTCGATGTTGTTCTTGCTGTTCCGTTTGTGTGAGTGCTGGGTCTGTTTACTGACCTTGAAAACTGATAAAAAGCAACGCACGATCCAAAATAACAACAACAACAATCACAATTCAGCAGCAGCAACAGCAGGCAGCAGGCAGGCAAACAAGTCCCAAAATGTGTGCCGCTCAAGAAAAACAAATCACACACACACAACACACGCACACAACACGCGCACACACGCACACACACACACACACACACATGCACATAAATGTATTCATGTACGCATTCGGAGACAGAAAATGTATGTGTGTTTGTGAAACAAACTCGTTTTTTAAATGCGTTGTGTATTTTTTAGTGTTCTGTTTGTTTACCTATTTAACTTTCAATACCAAATATAGATTTGCAGTCTAGAAAATATGTATTTAGTTCAAAAAAAAAACTTAGCTTAAGCTTATAAAATATATATATATATATATATATATATATATATATATATATAGAGACACATAATATGTGTATATGTATATAGCTTCACTTCGATTGACAATTGAATCACTTGAAACAAAATGGGAAAACAAATGAAGTGCAGATGGCGAAAACATATAAAACATGAAAAAGACTTTCATTAAACTTATATTTATTTCCAAATCGCACTCAGTGCGGACCCCATTTCCGATGGGGAGCGAACCCAGCGCGTTCCATTGTCATTTTCGATTTGGGTTTGGTGTGCTCTGATGAGGTGGGGGTTGGCATGGGTGGTAAGTGGTGAGTGATGGCGATATGCGGAAATGTCACAGCTTCAATTTCCATATTACTCTTTCTCAGCGCTGTTCACATCCTTGCCAGCTGTCTTGCATTGGACACAGTAGCGATAGGAGACCGGCTCCGGTGGCTTATTCACAGCGACGCTGGCATCATTGTTGTTGCTAGTGCCAAATGGTGACGGTTTGCTATCCACCGGACTAATGGGAAAGTGCTGCCAGTGCGGGCAGGGCATCTGCTTGGGCGGATGTATGGGGAACGGCATCCTGGCGCTTTGTTCAGCTCACTTGCAAAATAGCTTGTACTGGATTCACCGCTGCTGTCGCTGCTGCTGCACCAGACGCCTCCGACTCGCTTGAGAACTCACTGGCAACTGTGTGGCTTGCTAGAATCGACGACGCAAACGCGCCGTCAACGACCAAAACAAAAACACAAAAGAGCTGCTTGAGCGGAAGTCAACGACTGAATACCCTAAATGCTTGACCACTTTTGGCAGAAGGCATAAGGCAGCGTTATCCAACTGAATGGCGTATTTATGTGCGCATAATGTAATTATATTATTCTCTCGTATTCTCGAATGTATATCATAAATATAACTTTTTTATTTCTTTTCAACTTGAACTTTATCATTATCATTTTTTATTTATTTATTATTCTTGCTTCATACAGAACATATCAATTACATACGGAAGTCGAAGCTGGTCGAAGCAAGTCGTTCAAACGACATGCCCAAATCATAGGAGTTGCATGGGGTTAGGGTATGACATCAACAAAAAGCAATAATCGCACTCGCTGCGACCGGCAACAAGCAACTCTCAGCCGGTCTGGCGGGCTTGTCTAGTCAACAAATAGGTAGAAGAAGAAGAAGCAGCAACAGCAGGAGCAGCAGAACAAAGAGCACGAACACAAAAGAGCGAAAAAGCCACCCGGTGAGCGAATGGCAAATGCTGAGCAGAGAGTTGTCTTTGTTTGCTGCACCCTGTGGGTGGAATGACTTTTAAATCTGCATTCGTTTTTACAGTTTTTCACTTCTTGTGAGTGGGTTGCGGGTGACGACAGAGTCTACTCGTTTTGTTCGTTTCATTGCCTATGCTTTATGTATGCTCTGTCTGTCGTTCCGTTCCAGTTTTATGTTGTGCTTTGGACTTGAACAGTTCGCACAGCAAACTGAAATTGGCGCTCTCGTTCCGGGTTGCTCGGCCAGTCCGAGTCTACGTCTGGGTGGGAAATGTTGATAACCTCAGAGCGCTTTGTTCGCCTTGATCAAATTGCTTACGCTTCTTTTTTTTCTTCACTCTTTTTTACATATTGCTGTTTAATTGTAAATCATGTCTGAGCAATTCATACATACATACATAAGTACTTTGCCGAGCAGTAGTACATTTAAATTGATAAGTGTACACACATATGCATCACAATCATATTGGTTTTCGTATTATATATATGCTATCTTGATTTCGGCACTTGCTAGCAGATTTCAGATAAGAAATTTAAAAATAACTCATACACATAAGACATTTAAGTATTTGACATACAAGCAAATGAGATAAAACAAACAAAGTCTCTTATAATTTATTACTAATGTTGATACAAACCAGAAAGCACATCAAAATTCACCTAAAAAACATAAGGATCGAGCTGGAAACGACAAAGAAAATGTTCATTACCAAATTTAGAACACATTGAACAGCATTATCATTAGCATTAGCATTAGCATTAGCTAGCATTTGTATACCAATATTTGTTGTTTTTAATTATTCATTAAATTTTTATTAAACTTATGGGTTAGTTCAATACAATTATGTTATAGCATTTCTTTCGCTTTCCGTCCGGAGAGCTTCGTCGTCTTTCATCTATAATGCATTTACAATTTGTTAAGATTCGCAATTATACAATATTCACGTTCTTAAATATGATTCAATATAACAAAAAAAAAAAAAAAAAAAAAATCACACATAACGATAAAACTACTTTATCAGCTTAGAAAATTGTTATTTTTTATTGTAAGTTTTCGTATTCTTTTTTTTTTTTTTTTTTTTTTTTTGTATGTATGTACGTATATTTCTAAAATTACTTCTTACAGCTTCCCATAGCTGATGCAAAGGGCTGAAAATTACAAAAATTAAACGTTCTTGATTTAATCTTATTATTTTTTTCCGGTTTATATAATTAATATTATTATCATTATTATCATCATATCCTACGCTTAGGGTTACACAAAAAAAAAACCTTTACATTGTTAAAAATTAAATTATTTCGCCTTGTGTATAATTGTATAAATATTTTGTTTAAACAATTGCCTACATATTTTTTGTTTTTGTTTTTGTTTTGTTTTGTTTTCATTTGTAATATATATTTAATATATTTAATTTCGTTTCGTTTCGCTTGATGCTGATGTAAAGTAATATGCGTTACATTTGTTTAAAGTAAGCTAGGTGCTATTACAATAATTACTTTAAAATATTTAGGCTACAACGTAAACAATAACTTGACAATTATTTGATTTGTAAACCTTCTCATATAGATATCTTCATTTTGTCGCTAGGGAAATATTTACAAAACAAAGCTCTTAAATATTTCGAACCCAGAATGTGCAACTGAATGTTGACAGTTGTGTGTCATATTCATATTCAAAATGCTAGTCAATTGGTTATAGAGGGTGCTGCTCTACACAAATACAATATGTAGGTAGCTATATTTAGTGCTAGAAAGATTCATAGATAGATAGATAGGCAGATAAATATGTATATGTTCAGATTGCAAGTTGAAGTAAATATCTGCAAGCCGAGTCTTTACACGGAAACACAACAAGATACATACCATAATACGAACACATGAGATAACTTATATAAACCAGCTATGCGTGCTGTATATATATATATATATATATATACCTGTATATATATATATATATATATATAATTGAATTGGGATTTATTCTGTGTGTGTGTGTGTTTTTAACTCTTCAAAATGGAAGTGAGCCAGAAGTGGGCGGCTCATATTAATTATTATTTAATGTTTGGAAAACTTGTGCCGAGCTTGTGTATTATGTGAGTAAATACGAGCTAGAGGATGGTTGGTAGACAAACATATAAGTATTAGTATAGTACCTAGGGCTCGCTAACGTTAAGTTTATTAAGTTTTATAAATATGTTACATAGAAAGTGGTCGTCGCACGATCATCATTGGCTCGGCGAACTAAAGATCAGATTACATATATTGCCTTATGTAGTTGTTGTATACAATTAAAAAAAAAGAAAAAGAATCATAATTATAGTAAAAGTATCAAATTATACACCTATATATATATATATATATATATATATAGTATATGTATAGTTAATTAGAATGACACGGGCATCCAAATGCGCTCAGTTGCTTATGACGCATTCGATGCTGGCAGCGGCGAAGCCGCCTTGCGATAATAAATGTTGGCGCCCTTGATGGGCAACGGATGCGCCTCGGTGTTGAACACCCATTCATCCAGTGGCAGAAGGGAGTCATCTGAGAATAGTAAGTACAGGTACTATATGGGAACAGAGACGGACAGAATATCAATTTAGTTATGCATGTTTCTCAGTCAGTTTGTCAAGTTTAGAGTGTACTCACCTTGAGCGTCTCAGCTAGGAAGAAGCTCTGCTGCACATCGTCCTTTTGCGGCTCCTGCTGATAAACGTTGCGCAGGCCGCAGTAGCCGTGCGCGGTACGGCAGTGCTTCTCCAGTGCCTGGACTGCCTCCCAGCCCCAGTCGCGATACTTCTGGTCGTGCGTGAGGCGCCACAGCACGAAATAGCTCTCGAATGTTTCCGGCCTAAGAATGTAGTATTTCTCCTGCGAACGCAGCGCACGCGCCTCTGCCGCATCGCTGAAACTAAACCAGCAATTCAAGTGTGGAAACGATTAATAAATCTCAAGTGCAACTGCAAGTGGAATTGGAATTGCAATTGAAATTGCCGTTTGCTGTTTGCTGTTTGCCGTTTGCAATTGCAATTGTATATTGTGTATTGTGTATTGAGACGAGACTAACCGGAATGCCTCGGGTCCCAGCTGGGTGGGTGTGCGTATGTAGCTCTCGTGGCAAGTGTTGGTTAGCCCCTTGCCCACCTCCATGTACTTGTCAGTGAGCTCGTTTTGGCGCGTTGTGGCGCCGAGCGCAAAAAGTCCGCCTGAAAAGTTTCAAAATCGAAAATACGTTTTTTTATGCGCTTCAACAGAAAGCAATTAATCTATTGACTTGGTATAAAAATGAATGCTCTTCAAAATTACGTTAGTTTTGTACATACTCAATGAGCTTAGATTATAAGTGAAATGCTTTTTGATTCAATTGAATCATGCACATATCAATGGAACATGGATGGCTGTCCAAATTGTGCTCCCAACTTGAATCTATATCCATGAGAAATATTGATTAGAATCGAGTTGGGCAAAACGTACCCGAGAAACAGGCAAGATGATCCATTTTGTGCTCCAATCGATCAAACTTTAGATCAGACACATAGGTCAGTCCATTGGGGCTGGTGCGAACCATTCTGTCGATGATCGCCAGCATTGCGTCATCGTACATTTCGCGGGCCTCCTCGTCCGTTTGGCCGGACTGGAGCCAGGCCTTCAGCAGATACTCGTAGAAGCTGTCGCCCAAGGCGCCCAGAGACATGTGCACTGCCCAAAACAAGACAAAAAGACAAAGGCAAGATAAGTTTAATGTGGATTGAAGTTGGGCAAAGGCATAGTTTGTCGTTACTTACGCTGACCCCATTTGCCCGTCTTGGGATTGAGGAAGTTGGGATAGAGACCCTTGGGCTTCTCAATTTCCTTGAGCACCTGGCGTATAGTTTGGACCCGCTCCCGATACAACGGATTGCCCGTTATGTCACTCAAATAGGCAAACTCCAGATGCAGTGTGCCAAACTCGGAGAGAATTGAGCTGCTGCCGGATGCCCAGCCATAGTTCTTGGCATTGCCCGTTTTGGTGTTGACCAGCGCATAGGGTATGCCCGTCGGTGTCTGGAAGGCGGGCAGCAGCTTATCGGCAATGTTCTGTGCCTTCTCCTTGTACATTGGATCCCCGGTAAAGGCGTACAGTGTCAGCATGCCGCCCACAAACCGAATGTTCGTCTCAAAAACAGACAGCTCGGCACTGATATTATCCAGCGAGAACTTGCGCTCAATCCAGTCGCGTCCCTCCTTGTATTCCTTCTCCATGCCCATAATGTACAGCGTGTCCAGTCCGTCCACAATTGTGGCGCCCAAATCGTATGATCCGAATATGCTGCCCGAGTGCGGGCGCTGCGACAAGGGACGCAGCTCGTTCTTGCCCCAAGCGTACAATTTATAGTTGTGCCAAGCGTGCTCCATCATCTGCAAAAGTCAATGATTCCAATCAATAACGTATCAAAATATAAATGTATCTATAAAAATGTTTATATATAATACAATTCTAGAACGAGGGTATTCAAATTTCACCAAGATATATAAACATATTCCTATTCTCAAATTATATTCCACTTTTGCATATTTCTTTTAGATATTTGTATTCGATTCTTAGTAGATTCTGGATGATTTCGAGGATGCAGCTATGCATATTCAAGCCATGAATTATCTTTGAATTGAATTGGATTATTCAGATGCTCAACACTTGTAGTGGACTCAGCGCAGAATATTGGTGACTATTGTTGCACTCTGTACAACTGGTGCAAAGAATTAATAAAAATGTAAAAAGCCTAAATTAAGCATGCAATTATCTTTCGTATGGTGGTCTGTCTGTATCCTGTTTGCACACCTGCCCAAGGTCCTACTCGCCTCCCAAACACACCGACGCAATTCAAGGACATTGCTTGTGGTTACAGCACGGATTCAAAACGGCTGCATGAAGGTTTCATAATTTGAATCGAAATTGGACACACAAACACACACACAAACACAAACACAAACACAGAGAGAAGGCAGAAGCAGCGTTGGAAAATGTTAATAGAATGGACAATGCGAAATGTTTTTGGCCATCGCATTTAGCTTAAGCCCCAAACAGGGTTTGCTACCTTTGGCATGGTTGGTATTGCATTACATATTGGCTTTTCTACAACCGGACCCAGACACAATCCACGAGCTTACCCATGCGGCACCACTAAGCACAGAGAGAGAGAGAGAGAGAGAGTGTGTGAGAGAGAGGGAGATGTGCACTTGCAGCAGTGTGCGGTGCGGCACCAGCATAATATAATTTGGCATTGCATACTTTCGAGCGCCTTTTTTGAGAAATTAAATTACGAGCAAAACACACAAAATATAAGGTGAAACAAAAACAAAAAGCAGAGAATACAAACAGCATAATTATGCTGCGAATGCTCAGCTAATAGATATCCTAACATTTTTGTAAAGACACCTTATAGAAACCACATAAAAGTAGAAAGATAATTCCCTAAAATACTTTCTATACGCTTAAACCTGATTTGACATGCACTTGGTACATATAATTTAGAGAGATTAATATATATACCTTCTATGAATATTGGATCTTGGAATTACTTTTAAGTTAGTCTCTTATCTAAAGGAATGTAACATTCGTTATAAAGTTCACCAAACAGATAGACAACATATTCAAATATTTATCTGCAACGATTTTTCCATAATTTAGTTGTTTCGGAGTTTGCTCAATTTAGACAAGCAAAAAGATTTGGAAATATTTGGGTCACAGTTTCTTTCAGCTGAATAGGACATTAATTTGTGCAACTTTATGATGTCCTTGACGAGATGTTTTCTCTTCCTTTTTTTTTTTTGTTTATATGGCTACAGGGTATAACGAAAAAAAAAAGATAAAAATCTATACACGCCTGCCGGCCTATGGCCCCCGCGGGTGTTTGTGCTGATAGAGGGGTTGGTAGGGGAGGGGTTGGGGGCATGCTTGTGGGTTGTTGGAACTATGCGTCGCTTTGAGCCTCGTTGCGCTCTTTGTGTTTGCCCAGCAGCTCTCTTTTGCCCGTCGGTTAAGGGCTGTGGGCCTTGAAGGCAATGCAAATATTAACAGTTTTCCGGTAATTAATTAAAGTCGGACACGTTCGCATACCTCGCGTTCCGGTTTGTTGGCTGCTCCCAAAAAGGAGACCGCGTCCCAACATCCATTGTCCTCCCCTCACAATGACTGTGACTGTGACACTTTCTTGCCTGTTAATATTATTATTGTTTTTATTGCTTTTGTCGTCGTTATCCTTGTTTCCACAATTCTTAAGATTTAGATACACAGCTACAGCGACAGCGTCGGAGTCGTAGATTAGATGCTGTAAGATATGCTGCAATCCTTTTGCTACTCAGCCAAAATTAAATTCACGGACAGGACAATTTAAATAGTACACAGCGCGGGGATTTGCTCTATATCCATGCATATACAATTAACGACAGACATTAAAGGACCTCAATGGAGGGGTCCCGTCCGCTGCGTGACTGTGCAAGTTTTAAGTCGTTACACTTACGCGACACAATCCCAATCCCAATCCCAATCACAATCACAATCAACACTGAGCGTATATTTGCTTTGTTGCTTGCCAGTTTCAAATCTGCCCTCGAATTATGCTGACTGATTCCAAAAAACGCATAAGTCTCAAGCCCAACATTTTATTGGTAGCCAGTTTTGATTGCTGTTTACATAATTTTGTGATATCAAGCAGAACTGAAACACACTTTGGCTCAGTGTATTTTGTTTTTTTTTTTTGTTGTGTCGCTTGGACGCTTAATGAGCCGCATCTGATTGCAAGTCAACAGGAACGAATTTAAGCCGCAGTGTTCATTGTTTATTGAACCAATTCGGCCATTTCACTAGCCACAATTGTTGGCTACAATTGAGGAGGGCTGGGGGGGATATGGGGGGGGGGCGGCGGCGGCGGTGGAGTAGGGTAGGATGTGTGTGCAACCTTAACGTGACGTGCCACATGTGGGCAGCAGTAAATCATCAGCTTGACTAATTTAACGGAAATTGCTTGATGGATTTGACTGATTGATTGAATATTTTTGTACAGTGGCAGGCACAAATGGGGTAAAAGCATACACAACACACACACACACACGCATACACAAAGAGAAATGTGTGTGTATGCAGCTGTACTTTCAGTTTGCACGTCTTCATTACGAATTAAGCTACATCCTTGAAATGTGCAAACGTCGCACGAAACGTGCCCCGCCAAATGTGTGTGTGTGTGTGTGTGTGTGTGTGTGTGTGTGTGTGTGTGTGTTGTGTTGTGCCTGAACATCATTTCCGCAACGGAACGTGGAAACGTGCAGACCAACGAGGCGCCCTTCGTCGTATGTCACACATTTCCCCAAATGCCAAAGCGCCGCATACACTGTAAACAATTTTGTGCTTAACTTGCAGAGCTCATTAATGTTGTTTGTTTATTTAAATTACTATTGTTTAATTATCTGCTTAAAGGTTTGCATTTTGTGCTTTGAAGTTTGCTTGAACTGATTGAAAATTGTTAAGATTTTCATTACAATTCAATGGCAATTTTTTGTATAGTTCAAACTGAAGATTTGTCACGGTGCAGCTGCATCCTTCCGCTTCCTGTAGCCGGAGCGGCTATTGAGGGCTTTGGGAATTGGTTTTGTCTTCTTTTGGGCTGATTTTGCACTTGAGCTGGCACACCACAGCTCCACACAGCACCACACAGCACCACGGAAGCACAGAGCAGGTCCCCAAAGCCTACGCGAATGTGTGCCGCATTTGTGGCACGTGACACGTGGTCGTGTTATTCATTTTGTCAGCCTTTTATTGCCACTTGGAAGAAATCGTTTGGCTGTTTCCAGTTAAACGCAAAGTTGGAATTGCTTCAAAAGTGCACTATGAATGGGCTCCCCGGCCAGGATGAGGCACAGGGAAGAGCTGGGGAGGTGCTCTTCTTCTTTATTGAATGCAAATTTCAAATGCAACTTTAGCAGCAATGCGCAAGTTGTTGTCCAAAAACTTTGACGCTTTGTGCCGCTGGGCCGCAAAACAATGCAAATGCCAGCGACGCAAATAAAAGGCAAGGCAAGGCAATGGCAAGGCAATGGCAAGGGGCAGGGAAGCAAGACGGAAGCAAGAAGGGGCTTCATTGCAAAGGAGTAACTTTAAAATAGTTGTAAAAATATGCATTACCCAACACTAACGTACACACACACACACACACGCACACAACCAAGCTCGAATTCGCCAAAAGTTTTCGGCAAACTCTTTGGTCGAAAGCCAAGGGAAAATAATTGGCTTGAGGCCATAAAATAATGCGAAAGCGTCGCTGCTTTTGAATATTCTGACAAAAAAAAATGGAAAAGGAAAAAAAATAATACACACACACACACACAAACACACACACACATTGAAGAGAAAGTATTTGTGGGTGTTTTGCGTGCACGCCACGAAATGAAGTCAAATTTAACTGGCAAAGAAAAATGAACAGCTTCAAAAATTACAATGGGAAATATTTGCCTTTGTGTCTGTGTGTGTGTGGCAGAAAGCTGAGAAAAACAAGCAAACTATTAAGAAAATATGCGGCAAAGTTATCTGCTAACGGAATGCCAGCTATGCAGGTAGAAGCAGAAGACGTGATTTGCAGTGTCCTAAACATAAATTGCACAGGAAGGCAGGAAATTCAACTGCCAAGATTCAACAATTGTTTAGCCAAGATTACTTTTACAGCTTGCCCCTGTCAAAAATGATTGTATTGCAATTTTACAGCATACTTTTACATGTTGAACTAAAGTAGAACGACTGCGAGGCGTTTTCTCATGCGACTTGAAATTGCAATTATTATTAAATTGTTTACAAATAAGAACTGTAAACTGCACTCAAAACAGCTGATGCATCTTTAAATTGTTGCACGTTGCGTGGAATGCTTTCAGCTGTCCGTTTCGTAGTCTTACGTAGTACGCATGCACTGCGTTATTATTGCGCATTGACGCACTGACGCATTCCCAATCCTGTAACAATGCCAATCCATCAATAGCCGCATCGATGGCCATTTTGAAATGGAATCGCCTCTGCGCACGGGCTTCCATTGACAATGAAACGGGTGCAAACGGTCAGAAAACGGTTAGCCCAACAACAACAACAACAACAACAGCAACAAGAACAAGAACAACAATGAAACCAAGCAAAGTGGGTTAGTGTCAGCAGCGACGTCAGCGTCATCGTCAACGTCATTGGCAGCCTCAGTCTCGGCGTCAACATCAACATCAGCGTCTGCTCTGCTCTGCTCTGCTCTGCTCTGTTCTGCTGCTGTAGTTCTTTGTTGTTGTTCGCTTTTGTTTTGCTTATTTTGTTTTTGCTTTTTTGCGTTTTTGCCTTTTTTGTTTTTCTTGCTTTTGTTTTTGTTTTTGTTTTGACGTTGTATGGGGGATTG